GAGTGTGGACGCGTCTTTTCTTGTGAGCTGTTAACGATTATCTGGATGCAGTGGTCAAGGAATTTCTTGAGATGCTTTTGTTTAGTTCTGATGTTCTTCATTTAGAAGAGGATTTTGTGTCTGAAGTAAGTTACACTCTAATTAGACAAGTTATTAGGATATGCGGTAAGCAGAAGCATCTAACACAGAGCTGTGCAAGGTTTTCTGTTGATTGGTACACATCCCACGCCGCTATGTTTGGTTCGGGGGTACGATAGCGCGTGCCTGTGGTGGTTTATTCTGTTGCTAAAATTAGTTGGACTGTTATCTTTTGCATCCTTCTCCTAGAACCTTGGCGTTAGGCACCATCTGTATTCTGAGAACAATCTGGGGAATCTGCTGTTTTGCCCTGATGGAATGTTAGATATTTTAATTGAAATCTTACATATGCTTGGACTGTATATTTTTAATTTGTGTGAACATGTACATTAATTCCATGTTACACATCTTGCAGCATTTGGAGCCTGGTGGAATATTGTGATGGCAGCTCAGATGACTGATGCTCATCGACGCTTCTTGCAGGTCCTGATGTCTCATGGGATAATGGAAGGATCAGAGGCTAGGAAATTGCACAGGCGCTGCTGTGAAATCCATAAAGGTGTGTCTCTCTTTTGGAAAAAAAGAACGGAGATGGAAGAACTACTGTTTTTCCTGGTGCAGCTTGCAAATAGATTTCTGAAAAGCATACACCATCTAAAAAGTTAAAAACTTTAATGATATGAGTGTTCTCGCTCTTTCCAAAAATAAAAAATAACACTGCAATGAGGAGACTAAGTTTTAATCGGGTCAGACTCATACAGACCACTTTTTATTTTAGCAAAGATGTTGTTTATAGGTTAGACATTTAAAAAAAAATTGGTTTTGACACTGCTAGTGCTGAAATTTCCAGAATGTCTTCCTTCATACCTATTTGGAAAGATTTCCTTTGGAATATAATATGAAGTGTATGCTGTTATCCATCTTGAATAAATCTGTCATGTCTGACCAATTACATGGTCAGCTGGTTAGTCTTAATATACACTGTACTGAGCTGAATTTTATGGCACGTAACAAAAATTTGGTTGTATACTGTCAAATCTGTTTGAAGTTCATGTTCAAACTTAAATAGTACAGAAATGCGTAATCAAATTGATAAGGATTTTTTCAGAGATCTGCTTACAGATCATTCATCTTCACTAATTTTGAAAATGTAGTGGGCACAGACCAAAATAAAGCTGTAATGAGTAATGTGTTTATCACTAATTAATCAGTAGGTGTTAGATGTGTCAGTTGCTGGTTCCCAGAAAATAGTGAAAGAAACAAAATTCCTCTATTTGCATTTTCCTTATTTATGAACAAAATTGAATAAGGAATGTGTAAGAACAAAAAGTACCATTTAAAAGGAAACACCCAAATGCTGTTCAGGTTAGTGATTTTAAACCATTGCTATTGAAAGGCAGATAACTCCAGCAAATGTTTAAATTACACATTCTGAGATCTAATATGTACTATATATATGTCTCAAATTATTTTCTAGTTCTCTAGCATTTACGACTTAAAAGCCTTCTTAACAGTTATTTGAGGGGTTTAGTCAGTTGAGGGTATTTGTGTGAGTCAGCTGAGAGCTGAACCAATGACTGCAGGGGAACTGAGTTATTCAGTTGCTGGTGCTAACCAGGATGGTAACTTTAGCATCAGCATTGCTAACTATTCTTTCTTTCTGTTAAGAGAGAAGAGACTGTAGTCACTGATGCGCACAGCCTGTGGTGAACTCCATCTTGCTTTGTTGCCACAAGTGGAGTCTGTCCTGGATGATGGCACTATTTATGTATTTTCCTTAGTTAAAAGGAGCCATAGGTTTTCAAACTCTCCTGAGCCAAAAGAGTTATATCAGCACCTATGCAAATTTCTGACTGAAAAAATGGAAGTGTGGAAAAATGACGTTGCTTTTTACAGGTTTACTCCTGCATTTGTGAGAACCAAGCCACTATGATTTGTAAAAGAATTTATCATAAATGCTAGAGATGGCCTAAGCCAATAGCACGGCTATGGTGAGTTTATTGTGTGTTAAGGACAAAAAACCTTAAGAAAAAAATCTTTATGGCTAGATTGTGTTTTCAGTATGCAGGATCAGTGAGCTTGTACCGCAGTAAGAGCTGACAGAGCTGTTATTAATTAGGAAGGTTTATTTAATAGAAAAATTTAGGAAAAAATGGCTCCATTGCAACTGCTGCCTACTGAGTACTTAATTTTTTTTCTGCATAGTGACAGTTGATGTGCAATGGAAAAGTTTGTGAAATTACACAGATACAGTGTGGGAGTTTTAACTGTTACAGTTCTGTTAAAGGCTCTACCTAGGTAAGCTTTGTGTCACGTTGGGAGGCAAAAGGATGTTGAACTTGACTCACTGAATGGAACGCTTTCCCCCACATTTGCTTTATGAAGAAAAGAACCAGCGATTTGACAAACCCATCCTTGTTAGGGGCAAAGTTAACAGTATTACAGTTTATGAGATCACGGTAATAGCATTTTTGTGAGGAAACTCAGTTTGACTGGACTGTTTCTAGATGAAGGTCTGATTTTGATGTAGTTTCTTCAAATACCTCTTAATACTGCTTAGTGAAGTCATATTGTAACCAGCCTGTGCAGCCTCTGAGCAAGGAGATCTGAAAACTTTCCGCTCTGGTGTTTGACACATTCTCTTGTTCTGGTTTATTTCAAAATCCTAAGTCTTTTGGCCCGGAGACACCTTATTTTTTTGTGTATCACCTGCATGCTTCTTGTTAGCAGACAAGTGTCTATGCTAATATCTGCACACAGCTCTGAAGGAAATGTTCCAGACATCTAGCAAAGTGCTGCATAGGACCACTGCAAAGTGTACAGTTCAGTCAGGATACAAATTGCAGGCTTGTTAAGGAAGGTTATTATAATTGTTAATACTTTTTGACTGGAATCCCTTAATGCATGCTGGTTCTGTCTGCATTGTGTTATGTCTTTTTCCCTTTTTAAAAAAATAGTAAAAACTTAAGTGCAAAGTTAAAGACATGTTGCAGATCTCTAGCATTATATAATAGCTAAGGTACCACAACATTCTGGGCATCCTTTCTGGGGTGGCTTTGTGTGTTGTCTGTGGGTGCAAGTGCGCTTTTCCTTTGTATAGTCAGGGAAATGGTAGTATCTGAGTTGGCTGTGGTGGGATCCCTTTACAAGACAGAGTCTGTGGGAGGAGAATACGTAGAATATTCTTCTGACCCTAGTATGAAATCAGGAAACAGTAAAAATAGGAGAGTTTGTAGTTATTTTTCCTGCTGTCTTCCAAGCCAGGTGAAGTTCTTTGATAACTGAAGCTCTGGGTTTACACTGCTCTAAATAGTACAGATAGAAAGATGGTGCCTCTCCCCTAGAAAACACATTTCTCTATGTAATAGCATGACTTTTTTTTTCAGATGGTGGAATAAATACTGAGATTCATGTGCTCTCTAACCCTTGATAAGATTTCCAGGTTTATCTGTCTTTTTCTTGGATTCAGCACATCTTCATCTGATGAGAATTTAAATATAACAATATTAGGCATTTTCATGACCAGCATTTTATTTTCCAAAGACATGGTCATCCACAAGTGTTTTCTTTGCCACGTTCTTAAAGGCCAGAAGGTTAACAGAAAACACAGATACATTTTCTTTTGCTATATTTTTGATGAACCTAAGGATAATTTGGACACAAAATCATGTAGCTTTTGAAACCAATGGCCATATTTACTGAAGGACAATATAAAATTAATTATAAAATGTGAGTGTATATTAAGTTACAGGGAAGTTCATTAGAAAAATGGCTGATATAGTCCATATATGAAAGGATAGAAGAATGAGAGAAAACTGCTTTTTTTCCTGCCTTTTTGGATGTACAGCAGGAGTATATTGATTAACCATTCATTAACGTGGATTGTATCAGACTGGCTTTTGTCTAACTGTGTTCTGTATTCTATTTAACTGGCTTGCTAGCTGAATTCAGAAGAAAATAACTTTAGTCTACAATCATACCAATTTCTTAAGCATAATATATTTCATGCTTGGCTGTTGAAAGACCCACTAAATAAATTATATATGAGAAACAGGGATTCATAGAATAGACAAGCATTTTTGCTTTACATGTTTTGTGTGTCTTCTAGTATTCTAGGAAAAGCCCCAGCAGCTGTGCCTAGGTGTGACCCAGTGTGCTAATTACGCTTGTATCTTGTCTGCAAAGTTCAGCTAGAGTTTAGGGGAATTTTTCTTATCTGTGGTGGAATTTGCAGATAACCATCTGTTTGAAGTCTATGTTTTGTGTTACCAGACAAGTTTGCATTGCAAAACAACAGAAAAATCCACTGTACTGTTGTTTGACATTTTGCTTTATAGTGCATCAAATATGTCAAAGCTAGAAAATGTGGCTCTTGGCTCCTCAAACTAGGCATTTTTGTGTAGACAAGAGTATCACAAAGCACTGATGGAAGAGGGACTGGGAGAGATCAGTGGAGTACAGACAGTGAGATCAAACAGTTCCTTGGCAGTGCTTTGCTATAGCGTTGTGAATGCTTTCAAACAAATGCACTTCAGTTATTTCTCTTACGCGTTGTGAGAGAAGCGAATGCTGAGGAAACGTTTTGGTGAGGATGAGATGAGGTTTTCTGGTGGATGGCTGTACTTTCTGCCATGTCACCTGCATCATATTGCCCATTACTAGTTCTGGAAACCGTGCTCCTGCCAGGCTTAGTCGTTGTTTTGGTTTCGGCTGCCGCCGGCAAAACAGCAACAACAACGATACAGAAAAGGGGAATAAACAGAACAAACCGCACGACCCCACAGAGGCGTTCTCCCGGAAAGGACCGGCGCCGGAAAGGACCGGCGCCGCACGCGCCGGAGCCGCGAGTGAGTTCCCGCCCCCCAGTTCACCCCCCACCGGAACCCAGCTTGACGGCACATGGTATGGAATACCCTGCTCTGTTTGGCCAGGTTGGGGTTGGGTCAGCCCACCCGGCTGTGCCTCTTCCTGGATTCTGGTGAAAATTAACCCTGTCCTGGCCAAACCGAGGACAGTCGTATTCTTGTACCTTGTCACAATGCTACCCACTCCACAGGGACTTTTCTGTTTTTACTGTGGACCTGTATCTACTTGTCCTTAGAAGTTAAGGTCAGAAGGAAGCAATCTATTTTTGTGTCCCAAGTAACACAGGCCATATTTTCTGCTTAATGTTTTTTGCTGCTTATCAGGTGTCTTGTACCTGGATTGAAACAAAATGTAGAGAAGCTTATCAATTACTGATTCAGATGTTCTGGTAATAAAGTCAGACAGCATTTTCAAATTCTGATAGGGAGCTTCTTATTACATTAATCATCTTAGTACTAAGAAAGTCACTTTAGGAAATGGGGAAAAAAAACCCAGACCCCACTACATTTTTTTTCCTCAAATGCATTTTTCTGAATGTTTTATTCTTCTTTTATTCTTCTGTGAAATGAAAACTGAGTTATCAGTGACTTAGAATCCAAAGTAATTTGTCATGTTATTCTTCATGGTTTGTGCCATTTTCTTGTTTAATTCTAAAGTTTGTGAACTGATTGGCTCCATGTAAAAAGCTGTTCTATAGTTACTAGTTTTTTACATATGGTTTGATCTTGGAAATCAGCCATAAATATCAACACGGGTCATCATTGGCTTATATTACATCTGCTCAGTGTCATCAAAGTAGAAGAAAAACATGATATTTTCGTAATGGTACTTTGCAGACTAGAATTGTACTTAATCTTCTGCTTAATCTTCTGGTTACAGGGAACACAGGAGCTGAATTACATAGATATGACAACTATGTGTTCAGTTTTTATATGAGTAAAGGTCCTATCTCTTTTCTTTTAAAGCATTCACTCAGCTTACTTGCAGTCTTTTGCTGTAAACACGGGAGCTCTAATTTTATAACGGTGCCAGTATATTTTTAAATTTATCATGAAGCTGTGGCATCTCAGACTAATCTAAGTAATAAAGATTCGTTTTGTTTGGTTGTCTGTAAGCAAGAAAGTTTAAAACAATGCCTGTTGAAAAGTGATAATTAACCAAGAGTGTAAGTTTGTTGTGCTATCTGCTGCTTATACTTTGCATACAGACACATTCAGAACAGTTTCTGGTTTGTCTGAGCACCTCTGCTTTATCTTCAGTGAGAGATCAGTTCAGCTTTTCTGTGTAAAATATTTGAGTTTATTATTAAGAGTTTGTTTAAATTTAGGGAAAAAAAACCCAAACCCCAGAATATTTGTGTTCCATTTATTTACTGTTTGCTGTTTCCTATTTGCTTATCTGCTGTCATTGAAGAAATAATTTATTCTAAGGAAAATGCTCCCAAGCAGTGTTTAAGGTAACACATAATGAGCTCTCTTTCTAATGCTGTCATGTGTTACCTTTATTAAGTGCTCAGGGCTGAGAATTGTTTATGGACATGAAGAATAATACCTGGTTCCTGCATATATTTTAAATGCTATGAACAACTTTGTTGTGTTCATAATTTGGTACAGAAATAGCAATTTCCTTTAATTTTATTTCACTGAAAACAGATTACAGTAAGTACATCTGTGGTATCGTATTAGTTGAGATTGCATTTTGTGCCCTAGAGAAGGAAATTATTTATTTCTGCTACAAAAAAATAATTTACAACAATTGTAACTAAGTCTTAGTGTTTGGTTGGTGGGTGGTTTTTTTTTTGGTGTGTTTTTTTTTTTTTTTTAAGTTACTACATTTTCCAGGGTAAGTTATGGGAAATTAAGACTTTTCAAACAGTTTAATACAGTATTTTGTAAGTAAGATAGTCCTGGCTCTAGTATGCATCTAACATACTCATGTTAACAACGTCTGCTTAAATACAGTCTTTTGAAGTACTGTTGACACCTCTGAGATATTTTACCAGAAGAAAAAAGGACAAAGAGATTGCTGTACATGCATAGTCAGAATACAAGGATTATGGATACTTACTGAATGAAGAACACGTTAGTTTGTCTGATGTTAATTAACACCTTAACATTTTTTAGATGTTAAAATTGTTAAGTGCAGCTTTTGGTGTGGTCTGTCCCCTGTTCTTTCTTTTATGATTATATCCCTTTTTTTTTCCACAGAAGACCTACTAGAGCAGACAGTCATCTCACATTAAAATGTTACAGCTGTTGTACAAAATAATATTCTTCTGTTATCTTTCATCTTTCCTTCTTTTAGATCTGTCACTAATGCTCTCTGGCATCTGATATATGCAGACTGT